TAAGCGCTTATTAGCTTCTTATTATTAATAGCTATAAAAGCTATAACTTACTTAATTTTTAGTAGTACTATAAAAAAATAAGATTATTACTATTTATATACTTTAATACTTATTACACCTCTTACAGCCTTTTAATATAGATTGTTTTGCCTTTTTAAAAAAAGTGTGTAAGTGCTAAGCTAAAGATCTTATATGTAACTAAATTACTTATGTTATAAAACTTAAGTTCCTATTATGCTTTATACATACTTATAATATAGTAATTACTTTTAGTAATATTTAAGAAGAGTTTTAAAGTGCTAGTTTAGTTTTACTTAACCTAAAATAAGTTAAAATAGCTTTTAATATCTAGTTAACGTACCTAACAGGTTGGCCGGCCACTTTTGCTAAGCCCCTACTAAACTCTACCTATCTACATAATGCCTTAACAACAACACTAGATTAAATCTTCTAAAAAACATTAGATACAGCTTGCTCTTTAGGCTCTTAAATAAGACTTAAAACTTTTCTTATAACGCGCTGCAGCTATTTATAATGTCTCTTACATAACACTAAGTAATTAACGCGCTAGATAGCCTTTATAAGCAAAATGCTAGCCTAAATTAAGGAATCTAACTAAGCTTAAAAAAAAGGTAGTTATTAAGTATATACTTAACCTTATTACACGCAGATTTTCTTTTAGGCTTATAGCTGTAGCTAATATAGCTAATTCCTTGCCTGTAAAGCGTAATCTAGGCTAGGTTAGCTTAAACTAGCCTAGTATATAGGTTAAGCACTGCTCTAAGTTTATAATAAAGTTTAATTATAAGTATAATTATAAGAGAGCGCTTTATAAGGATCTAGAGGTTATCTAGGGCTAGTTTTACCTAGTAGCTAACATAAAAGCTAAGTACAGTATTTAAAATAAAGACAGGTATAACTTTAATAAGTTAGGCTTTATAATAGGCTAGATATTAACTAAAGCAGTTATTATAGCTTTAGAGAGATAAGAATAGCTAAAGGTAATATAGTAAAGTAATAAAAAGTAGACAATAGTTATCTAGAGCATTAACATAATAAAGTAGGCTATAAAATTATAAAGCTTTAAGCAGTAAATAAAGCTGCTACATAACATAAATTACATAAAAAAAAGCAGATTTAAGTAAAAAGGACTTTAATAGTTAAGGATAGATCTTGTCTAACTGCTCTAAAGGAGTTTAGAGCGTGTAGTAATAGAAAGAAGCTAAAGACGCAGGTGCGCGCTAAAGAAAGTAAGCTAAGTTAAAGGCAATATAAGTAGTGTAATTAGACTAGGCATAACTTATATACATATAAGTAAGTAGTAAAAGTAGACTCTAAATAATATCTTATGTTGTATTACTTTATATAGGGCTAAAGTAGGCTGTTTTGCGAGAGAATGGGGTGGTTTTAGTAAGGGCTTAGCAAAAGTGGCCGGCTAACCCGTGTGGCCGGCCAACCCGTTAGGTACGTTATATACTTTATTACTACTACTACTTATTAATAATAAGCCTTAGTAGTTATAAACCCTAAGTAATACTTTTAAATTTAAGTTATAATTAACACTTATTAAAGTAAGAATTTAAAAGTATATAAATAGCTTACTAATATCTATAGTAAAGGCCTTTAAGAAGGGTTTAAAGGGAGTAGTAATTATTACACATAAGCTAGTATTAGCATAAAAGAAGATTATAAAGCTTTAAGCAGCAAATAAGGCTACTACATAAGATAGATTATATAAAAGAAAGTAGATTTAAGTAAAAAAAACTTTAATAGTTGAAAATAAAGGTTATCTAACTACTTTAAAGAAGTTTAGAGTGTGTAGTAATAGAAAAAAGCTAAAGACATAAGTGCGCGCTAAAGGAGGTAAGCTAAGTTAAAGGCAATATAAGCAGTGTAATTAGACTAGGCATAACTTGCGTATGTGTAAGCAAGTAGTAGAAGTAGACTCTAAATAATATCTTATGTTGTATTACTTTATATAGGGCTAAAGTAGGCTGTTTTGCGCTAGAATAGGGTGGTTTTAGTGGGGGCTTAGCAAAAGTGGCCGGCCAACCTGTTAGGTACGTTAGTTAGTCTTCTCTAATCTCTAGTATTTGTATATATAACTATTTAATGTAAGGAGTATATAAGTAAGGTTATTTTATTTTTCTTATACCTTTCTATAGATCTCTATTATTCTCTATTTAGTATTTTACTATACTAGAGAAGCTATTATAGAGCTTAAACTAGTCTAGTACCTATTCTAAAAAGGCGTAGTAATAATTTTATAGAGCGTAGCGCTAGTTATAGGCAGGGCACTTCTAGCTACTACTTCTATTCGCCTCTTCTACTAAAAGTTACTCTATTATAGCCTATTTAGTACTATAATATCTATCTTAACTATGTATAATATTTATAGAAGCGCTGTATATAGTATTTATAGAAGTACTATATATAGTATTTATAGAAGTACTATATATAGTATTTATAGAAGTACTATATATAGTATTTATAGAAGTACTATATATAGTATTTATAGTAAATAGCGCGGCATTAAATTAAGAGACGTTTTTATTAATTTCTAGAGTAGTAGCACTACTAGTAGTAGAAGATAGCTCGCCTATAGTAAAGGTTCTCTTATATAATGCCTTATATTTACTTAGATAATATAGAGCTATATACTTCTAGAACTATTTTATTATCTCTTTTCTTATTAAGCTTATATCGCAACTGGTATAGTCTTATAGCATTATATACTAGATAGTAGAAGTTTATATATTCATAGTAATAAAGTTTTTAACTATATTATTAATAGATTATACTTTAGCAACGTAATAGGTCTTAGCTTTAGTAGCTGCCTCGTTATATTCTATAAGCTATATTTTCTAGTTAGCTACTCTTTTTATAGGCTTAAGAGATTAGAGGTATTAATTATAAGTTCTAGCTTATTTAGTTTTCTTATTAATACTAATAGTATCTTATAGAGAGATAACCTAGTTATAGATTAGCTTACTACGCTTATAGCAGTTATTCTATAGGTACTATAATACTATTATCTAGAATAGCATAACAATTTCCTTTAGAGCAGCTTATTCCTATATATAACTATTCATAGTTACTAATTTTATATAATTTAAAAAGAGTCTTATAATAGTTAACGTTCTTCTTATAGGCCTTTAGTTTATTAACGAATAGGTCTAATAGTTGTATAGGTATAAAGCTGTTACAATCCTTGCTTCCTGGAAGCACGCGGGTCGGTGGTATCCCTGGTGAGATAGGGCGGAGAGTCAGGGGCCAACGGCAGGGTGTACAGTCCTACGTAAAGGCTATTGGGCTACTGGAGGAGGGTAGAGCGACCGGATCGTGGTTTGCCCTTATGCGGCAGTATGGTGGACGGGTCAAACGGTCCTGTTGGACAGGGTTGGAGGTATATATGGTGCAGATATACAAATAGTATTACAGCTCTTTAAAAAGCTGAATGCTACACAGTCTATGTAAAGAATAAACTAAACATTAAACACACCTCCTAAAGGTTGTTTAAGATCTAAACTATATACATATTTAAGGGGTGCTAAGAACGAGTGGGACAAGTTCATGCAAGCCCGCCAAGCGCGACTCCACAAACTCTCTTGGACTTAATAGACTCGTGGCCTGCCTTCTCACTAGATGACGCATTCTTCCACTACTGCAGGTAGTTGCGCTGCTTCCGTAACCTCTGTGTCCTCCGACTGGCTCATAAGCGAGCCCTGTTCCAACCTAGCTAGGCTGTGGAGCACCACTGGTGGAGTTACGCTGGTCCAACCGTAGACCGTAACAAAAGCCTTCGTTCTAACTCGTAATCGCAGTATTTAGTGCGTAGCTATTAACTATTAGTATTATAGATTGTTTAGGTTTAGTTCTAGATATCTTATTACTATCTAAATTAATAATAAGCTATATTTATATAGCTTTATAGCTTGCTTTTAGCTAATAGAACTATAAAGTATAGAATAAGTAGTTAGTAAAGAGTACTATAGCGTTACGAGTAGGTAGTAACGACATAGTAGCTTGTTATAGAGAGGTAGTAAGACTCTTAATTATTAGATTTATACTCTCTTAAGATAGTTAAGATAATTGTACAACGATTGTAGATGAATTAGTAATAGAAATAGTATTAATTATTCTTCTTATTATGTGTCGCCTATTTAGCTAGAGTTTTATTTCTAGCTACTATATTATATAAGTATACTTAGCGTATATCTATATTAGGAGTTAGTATAGACTCTTTATAGCGACTCTTATAGTAACTATTATCTATAGTTAGTAGAGTCGTTCTATATAGGTACGCTTATCTAATATATTAACTCTATAGATAGTCCTTTAATCTAATACCTATATAGGTTCGATAGCATAGAAAAGACGTAGATTGCATTATAGTTTATCTAGTAATATTAGCATAGATAAGTTACTAATAGCGTATTGTAGAGGCCTGCTAATAGATAGTAGATTTAATTACATCTTCTAGATTAACACAAGTAGCTAACTTATAATTAAACAGAGTTATAAGAGTATTATAGCTATAAATAGTTTAAGTAGCTTAAGAAAAGGTAGTAAAGAGGCTAATTTAGTTAGAGATGACTATACTAGAGTAGTACTCTAATAGCTAAGGAATTTAAATTAGGAATAGCTGCTTTTATTTAACAACTGCAAGAGTGCTTAAGCTATACATAATCTTACTCCTAGTAGCGACCGCGGGAACGTTTTATATACTAGTAGAGATCCTGCTCTAGGCCTTGCCCTCCCTCGGAGTGCTGTTTCGGAAGTTTCCGAAATAGAACCCGAGGATGCTGTCACGCTACTTGTTGGAGCCGCCCATATAGAGGAGATAAAGACAGTAAGCTAGGGGAGTCCGCGCGCCCGCAATCGCTTCTTTCACAATTGCTAAAATTCTATCCGCTGACAGACAATATCCTATACTCCAAAGCCGACGGTGTCGCATCACTGAAAGAGGGATCTGCGCAGCCCTTCAGCCTTGATACAATATGTGCTATTGCTTCCATGACCAAGCTGCTTACTACCAGGGCTTCCAACGAGGCGTAGTACTGTACGATTGGGCGATTTTGAGGCCTGTACGGGTGAGATTTTGTGTACGTTTGTACAACAGGGAGGAGGAGAGGTAGGTGTACGTGTCGTAGCTGTTACAGCTCACGTGATCTGTACAAGTAGTACAATTTAATTAAAGTACGCTGTACTCTAGTTAAAACAGCTAAGACTATAAGTCTCTAGAGACGCAAGATTAAGGTCTAATTAACTATAAAATAACTAGTTCTCCCTAGTAACAAGAGCAGATAGGACTAGATAAGGCCTGTAGGGCAGTAAGAGGCGTAGATAGATAACTCTAGAATAGAAAATAGTCTGTAATAGGCATTTTTAAGACAACAGACTGCAGATAGATAGATTAAACCTCTTAGAAAGAGATTTAAGCGTTTGTAGGCCTCCTGCTTGCCAGAGCCCTCCTACCCCTCCAGAACCCCTATACAAACTTCCTAAAAGGGTAATACGATCTGTACTACGTACTGTACCTAGGGCATCATTAATCATACAGTACGGCTCACGAACTCGGTACGTTTGTACTGAACACGTGACCGTTACGGTTCACTTTGTACGGACCGTAGTACGGCCCGTTGGAAGCCCTGCTTACTACTGTGGCTTGCTTGCAAGCTGTAGAAGCCGGAATACTTGAGCTGGATAAAGACGTTTCGAATGTCCTACCCGAAGTGGGCAAGTATGGCATCATGACGGCGTTTGATGAGGAGAAGAACGAAGGAGTGGTCGAGAAGCATAAAACTCCGATTACACTTCGGTAAGTCAATCAGTCGAGATCGGCATAACTCCAACCACTTGAAAATCCTTCAAGCAGCCTCAGTGTACCATTCAATATAATTTACATGCTCACCGTCTTATCCCCACGAGGCCACTTCCAGCAAAAACTAACAACCCCAGCGACATCCTCTCCCACACCTCTGGCTACGAATACGACTGGTTCTCCCCACTCCTCGCCAAATGGCGCCAAAGCCGCAACGAGCAGCCCTGGACCGGCCCCACCGTCGAACACAAAACCACCCTCCCCCTACTCTTCGAACCCGGCACCAGTTTCCGGTACAGCGGGGGCCCAGACTGGGCTGGCAAGATGATCGAGCGCGTTACAGGCAAGACACTGGAAGCATTCATGCGCCAGAAGGTTTTCTAGCCTCTAGGGATTAGAGATATCACGTTTTATCCGCGGGAGAGAGCGGATATGCGGGACCGGATGGCAACATTGAGTACGCTGAGCGAGACGGGAGAGGGGCCTGCGGCCGATGCGCCGGACTTTGATATCCTATTTGGCGGGACGGATTGTTTGGGCGGGGGAGGCGCGTTCGGGAGTGCGAGGGATTATTTCAAGTTCTTGCAGGCTGTGCTGCGACGGGACGATAGACTCCTTACGCCGGAATCGTATGATGAGTTGTTCAGGCCACAGCTGGATGAACAGTGCAAAAAGGCGTTCAACGAGTATCTCCGCTCGTCGCCGGCACATAGCCAGTATCTTGGAATGAGCCTACCAGAGGACATTGCGAAGACTTGGAGTTTTGCGGAGATGATTTGTGAAGGGGGACAGGAGGGGAGGATGGCGGAGGGGACGTATTTCTGGGGAGGCGTGCCTAATATGTCATGGGTGAGTATTGTAAGATACTTTGCATGGACGCTTGCTGATACAGAGTAGTATATGGATCCCAAAACTGGGCTGTGTGGAGTTGCCTTCTGTCAGATTCTGCCCCCGATGTTTCCGGGCGTGATGCGGTTGCATGAGGAGTTCCAGAAGGCTATGTTTCGGGAATATGCCAAAGTGGATATGAGTTCCTACTTTTCACAGTAACTGATTTTGAACTCTTACAAAATTTTGTGATCGAGGTTCCAATCGAGTCGTAAGAGATATTATGCTAGGGTGCAGGTGAGCTCACGGGACCACGTAGGAACTCGCTGGGTCGACTTCCTATGTAAATAACAAGGAAAGGAAGTAAGTTAGTTCAAGACTCTGCATATAAGCAAATATCTTTTGCACGTAATAGTTACTGAGAAAGTCGTACAGGACTAAGCTTCTAGATATCCTACAACCCTCGCGCAGCCAATGCACTTTTCAAAATTTGCTGAAACGTGGGGACATGATCAGGCCCAAGCATGGTGTAATGCTGTCTGTTGACTTCCCAAAACCTCAGGTCATTACGACTGAAATGGACCCAGTGATTTAGGTGCTGTTTGTGGTAGTCGGCGCGAGTCCGAGCAACATCCTTGAGGGGCTGGCAGTAGAATATATCCATGCGTGAAACTTCTCCGCTAGGCTCATACTCCCAGCCAATCTTCTGTAGAGACCAAGAGATGTCTGTCCAATTCTGGAGGCCAGCGGGGGTCAGTGCCAGCTCTGCGCAGCGCTGGGCGTCGCTCTCTGCAAGGAGCCGAGCGACTTGCTCTTCGTGGGACAACGCCCTGAGTTCATCAAGGAGCTCCTCCGAACGCTGCTCGGTAATGATACTGCAAAATTGCGCAATGTGTACCATACCAGCAGTCCAATCGAGCTGTCGCATACGAGTCTTGATATGGGGAGGAAGGTTGAAGCATCCCAGAAACTGGACTCTGTCTCCCTGTGATTCCAGGACCTTCGCGACTTCAAAAGCGAGCATGCTGCCGTATGAGTATCCGGCAATGGCATACGGGCCTCTAGGCTGACGAGCTTTGATGGCACAGTGATAGGTAACGATGATCTCTTCGAGGTCCGAGAACGGCTCTTCACCATCATTGAGCCCACGAGCGCGCATCGCATAGAGCGGTCGGTTTGGGAAATACTGGACCATTCCAAGAAATACCAACATCTCGCCGATACCGGGATGGACAAGGAACAGAGGAGTGTGGTCACCCTTCGGTTGAAGTGTAATGACTGGATCGTATGATATGCTGCCATTACATTGGCACAAACGGTCAATTGCTGCGGCAAGAGAGCGAATGGTGGTGTTTGTCATGAGAGTGATGATAGGGATTTCTTCAATCTCGAATGATTTCTCAGCTTCCCGTTTGAGACGGATCAAATCAATAGATGTCATTCCAGCATCTAGCATGGGCGAGTCGATACCCTTGACGCCAGATCCGAACTTCAGCTCATGAAAGATACGAATCAATATGCGCTCCGCGGCCGTGTTGGGACCAGTAGCAGTGTGTCCAACCGTTAGTACACCTAATAGTACAGTACTGCAGTACACTGATTTTGGTCACGTACGTACGTACAGGGCATCTACTCAGTATACTGTACTATACGTGAGGCTGCTGTACTAACTGTTTACAGTAGTTATATAGGATTTTTAGTAGTTTTAGGCAGTTAAAGGCAGGTTGCTAAGGGCTAGGGGGCTTGTGTTTAGAGATTAATGCAGAGAATGCTGTTATTACCTGTTTTGTTAGTAATCTTCTAACAAATTTAGCAACTATGCTATCTACATTATTCTTTTACTTATTATAATGTCTTAATTCCTATCTTAATTAATAACGCAGTTATCTTAGCGTGTTACCACTTTGCAGGCTCTATCCTTGCAGGCCTTATCCTTACAAGCCTTATCCTTACATGCCTTATCTAGCTGTTCTGCCACCCAGATATATCATGCTGCCTTATCCTAACGCTTAGAGAAGGCCTACATAGCCTTACCTAGCCTATCTACGCTGTCCTTGCGTGAAGCAACTCCTTTAAAGCATATGTAAGATACCTAGGCTAAGGAGCACCTAAATAATGCCTACTATAACATTAGAATTGCCTTTAAGATTAACTAGAATAATATATAGTGTTTTAGCATTAAATTAAGCGCAGATTAGCTAGGATATTATATAAAGCATAAGTTATAACTTCTTAGGCACTAGAAGGTGTTATTTATGTAGAGATATAGTGCAGATCTGCAGCATGTTACTAAGGCAGGTAAGAAGAAGCAGCTGTAGCTCTATTAAGCTTACTATAAAGCTAGTGTTTAAAAAGTAGCTAAACTTATTAATAGCAATATTTATATAGTAAAGCATTTTAAAGTAGTTTATAGGATTAATGCTAACATTAGCATACTGCTAGATAGCTCTTAAAGGCCTTTAAATCCCTTTATAGCAGCAGCAGAGGTAGCAGGAGCAAGGCGGCAGGTAGCTTATATGCTGTGGCAGGAGGGTGCTCTAGCGCAGGTGTTTGTTAACTAGGTAGTTGTATCTAATTAGTTACTGCAGTAATTAACCTTAGCTAGATGTTAAAGTTTTATTACCTAAAATTAACTTAATCTTTTTAACACTTTTTTTACTTTTTTAACTACGCTATTACAATATCTTTATAACAGTTTTATAAAGTAAAAAGAGAAAATTTAGACTATGTTATATAGAGCTTATAGCAAAATTATGTTAAGCTTAGATAAGTAGAGTAGTCCTAACTACCTTTTAATGCTAGAAGTTGTTGCGCATTTTATTAGTAAGTAAGCCCTATTAAACTTAGCTTATACAGCTTATAAATGCGTACATAGATGCTAACACCTAGCTGTAAGACCTACTTATTAGCTTTAAAAACCTATACAGTAACAAGACTAGCGCAAATTAAGCATGTACTATTATTAAAGTTCTTTAGAAGTATAATATTAAGTTAAAATTCTACTACTTTATAGTAGATAACATGTTAAATAACAACATCTAGCTTATTAATTATCTTAACTTATATATAAACCTTAACTTTAGCAGTAATAACTAAATACGCTGCGCTAGCTATACTATCTAAATTATTGTTAAGGCAGTTATTTATAGTAATAATATAAGCCTGTAGGAACAAGAGCTAGCTAATGCAGCTTTTTAGAATTAATTTAAGCTCTATTAATAGCATAAAGTTGTTAGAAAGCTTTATAACTTCTATAACTTAGTCCTTTACTTAAATAAGTGTTGCAATAGCTTTACAGCTATTATAACTATACTAAGTAAGGAGAATGTTTTTTAGAGCTTTAGTACACTAAATCTACTATAAGATAGCAGTGTATAGTGGCATTTTATTTATCTTATAATTCTATGTTATTTTAAACTTAAAAAGCTTATTTAGCGCTTTATCTAATCTAAGCGCTATAACATAGGCCTTACTAATAAGGTTAATAATAATATTAAAGATAATAGTTATAATCCTCTACTTAACAGCCTTACTAATAATAAATAAGTAGAGGTAGAGCGCATAAAAGACTTTTTAAAAATCTTCTATAAAATAACTAAACGCCTTAAAGGCAGCACTAGCAAATAAGGCTACAGTAGCTTATAGTAAATAATTATATACCTGCAGGTAATTAATAACAAGCTTAGAGCATAGAGAGAGCGCCTATCTTATAAGCACTGCAGTAACTACTTTAAAAATAGTGTTACCTTTAGCATTAAAAAGCTTACTATATACTAGGAAACTTTTATTTTAGAGCTAGAGATCTCTTACTACTATGTAGTAACTATTTTTAACTTGTCTTTTTGCCTTTTTTAGTTTAAAGACTACTAGAAACACTACTTATTTTAGTATAAGCATATAAAGTTATCTATCTAGAAGATCTATACACGCTACTTAAAGACTTTTAAGGAGAAAGAAAAAGAAAAGGAGGCAGTGTTACTAAAGATATTATAAAGAAAGCTTTTAGTAGCTTACAGCAACCCACATAATAAGCGCCTTAAAAAGGCCCTTTTAGTTAACCTTACTATCCTTTATAATAACAAAGGTTATAGCTTAAAGAGGAGGTAAAAAGTTAATAAGTTAGACTCTTACTTTAATTCTCTAGTAGAAGATAAGTATGCTAGAGATTAGCTGCTTACTTAGCTGCTTAAGTAGTAGCAGCAGCAAAGTTAACTTTACTACTTTATCCTTTATAAAATTACTCTTAATTTCCTATTAATTTTAGTAACCTTATATAAGTGTAAGCAGTGCTTCTTACAGGCTAAAAAGACTATTATAATAAAAAGGAATTAACTATTAGTGTTAACAATAGAGGCTCTTTAACTGTAGAAGAATTAGTTATATAACAACACTGTTACTAGTAAGCTAACTAAGCTTATAGAGTACATTAAAACAGTAAGATTAATAATAGTAGATCTTATAAGAGGTATTACAACTTCCTAATTAGGTATAGTCTTTAGCTTTAGCGCAATTACTTTATAATACTTTAATATACTTTAGTTACTGTATCCTAACTGTACACTGACGTTATATCCTCCGTACAGTTAGTTAGTAACAGCCTCCTCTTCCGTAACTGTACTATACAGCCTCCAAAAGGCTCCGTAACTAACGGTTGGACACACTGACCAGTAGTGTGTGATTCCCGATGCGAGCGCAGTAACTGTGAATCTAAGTCGATTTCGCCTTGATACTCGCCCTTCATCAGCGATGTGCTGACCTGTGCACGGGACAATTTCCCTAAGGTTGAACGATGGAGCCGACCAGGCCCGATGGGCAGCACTCAGGGCCGGGCACCAGTAAATGAGGCTACCACTCGAGAGATAGCCTGAAGCGTGTTCATTCGAGCTGCGGTATCTGATTCATCGTACTGCCGTTGGTAGACAATCTGAATGTCTTCGGTGTTGGCGCCCGGTGAACGCGACGCGAAGCCAGGGCTTCCAACAGGCCGTACTACGGTCCGTACAAAGTGAACCGTAACGGTCACGTGTTCAGTACAAACGTACTGAGTTTGTAAGCCGCACTGTACAGTTAATAATGCCCTAGGTACAGTACATAGTACAGATTGTATTACTCTTTTAGGAAGTTTTTATAGCAATTTTAAAGAAGTAGAAAGACTCTAGTAAGTAAAAAGTTTATAAAGAGAGCTTCTAAAGCTCTAATTAGCCAAAAGTTTTATAAGGGCGCTTAAATTTTTTTTTAAGGGGTTTAATCTATCTATCTAAAGTCTGTTGTCTTAAAAATGCCTATTACAGACTATTTTCTATTATAGAGTTATCTATCTACATGTTTTACTACTTTATAGGCCTTACTTAGTTAATTAGATTCTTTTATTACTTATTTTACATAGTTTTATAAGCTGCAGAAGTTAAAAGCTCTCTACACTATATTTTCTACTTTATCCTGTAATAGTATACTATCTGTAGCTAAAAATTAATTATAGTAGTTTCTAAAAAACTATAATTATAACACTAGTGTTAAGTTTATAATTAATTAGAATAATATATAGCTATTAGACTTAAAACAAGCGTTGCCTTTAGCATAATTAAGTTACTAAGTAAAAAATAAAACTACTTTATAAAATAATTATATGCTATTAAAAGTGTAAGCTTATAGTGTAGATATAACACTTTTAAAAAAGTAAAGTAAGGTAATCTACCTTTAGCTTTACTATTAGTGTTATAAGCAAAGCTCTTAAGGCGCTGTAAAAGTAGTAAATAGCTATAACTATATTATTTAGCACTTACTAAAAAAGTATAAAGTTAATGTTAATAAAAAGCTCTTAACGTACTTTATAGGCAAGTTGCTTACACACCTAAGTTGCTTACTTTTGCTAAGACCCTACTACACTACTTTTCTTACACTAATGCATTCCTAATAACACTACTTAAACGTGTTAAAGGAATGTTAGATGCAGCTTATGCTTTAAGCTTTTAAATAAGATATAACACTTTTTAACTAACATGCTACAGCTGTCTATAGGGTCTTTTAAAAGATAATAAGTAACTAACACACTAAATAACCTTTTTAAGCTAATTATATAGCTAACTTATAAAAGCTAGATAATAATAAAAAGTAAGTAATTATTTAGCATATACTTAAGCTAGATGCGTAAGGATTTCCCCTCTAGCTAGCAGCTATAGCTAATATAGCTAATTCTTTATGCGCTAAGTATAATATAGGCTATATTAGCATAAACTAGCTTAATACATTTATTAAGTGTTATTTAAAGCTTAAAGTAAAGTTTAAGCGTAAGTATAACTATAAAAAAGCCTTTTATAAAAATTCTATAGTAATTTAAAGCTAGTTTAACTTTATAAAGAATATTAAAGCTAAGTATAGCATCTAAAATAATAACACATACAACTTTAACAAAATAAAGTTTATAATAGGCTAGATATCTACTAAAGCAGTTATTATAAGTTTAGAGAGATAAGAACAGCTAAAAGCAGTCTAGCTAGGTAACTAGAAGTAGACAACAGCTATCTAGGGCATTAATGCTAAAGAGTAGGCTATTTTACTTTTTATTATTTTCTAAGGTAGTAACTACCTTTTAAACTAGTATAAAAAGAAAAATCTACTTTAAAATTAAG